ATATCGCACCAGTGACAAGGGAACTAAAGATACTAACAATAGGATTCACGAACAATTAAAGTATGCAGCCATGCCGGCCCTTCGCTTGCAATGTATGAGTTGAATCTCCCGTCGCGAGTCACACTTCTAGCAATCTCTCGGGCCGCTGCATTTGCAACTGACGTTTGCAACTCAAAACAACAGCTCTCGAACAAGAGTTTAGTTACATTGTTTTTAGAACAAGTATCTAGAAAAGGCAGGATAACATTATACATCTAGCCAAAGCTTATAGTACTAGACCAGGCTTGGATGAATCATTGGGATAACAGTTCTTGTAAGCGCTTCCGGGAAAAGGCGCGCAAAAGAGGTATTACAAAATACAAATTATATGAACAATTTGATTGAAAAATGTTTCCATAGTAAGTGGAGGATATCGTGGAAGCGGTTGTTCCCCTCTTTCCAAAGGATTTGGAAGTAGACCGTTGTTTGGGCATCTAGACATTTCAGAATCTTGAAAACAATTCAAGTATGCACAACATCCAACTGATAAGGTTCTGCAATCAACAACCATAGATTTGGGAAGCTGAACTGAGAGAGAACAAATCGCCATACCTGATCCGAGAATCATATTGAAATAGTTCATCTTTCTATGAACACATGAAATGATAAAATTATTTACTTTTAAATAGGGTGATTTAAAACTCACAAAATAACAAACCCTTAGTTATAACACTCAATAGCTTATACAAATAGGTTTCAGAATTAAAATTGTTTCTTATACAATACTTCAAAACCGTTACTTTTTTACACATAAAAAACTTTGATACCCAAAAATAGATAGATTTATTTAATACTAAAATTAAAAATAAACAATTCCATACTCAAATATACAAATGAACCCAAAACAATACGCGACGTATATGTATATAGGTAATCACGTGAAATTACTAATAAGATTTAACAAACAATAGATTATCGTGTTAGCTTTTACAAAATCCCTTATACATTATTTGAGAAGTGATTTTTCTAAAAAAACTTATGTGTCTTATCTAGACTCATTTTTCAAAAATTTATTGTGACATGACATTCTCTAAAATGTGACATTACAAAATTTATCAAACATTTATGCTCATCAATAATTCAATTAAAAACAAAATCAGAATCAATATACTTAATTGAAAAAAAAAATATTTTGAAAGGGATTACCAATAATTCACTTAAAAAAATATATCTATCATATATATAAGATTTAATTATTGACGAGAGTTCCATTTTAAAATCACCACAAATTTATTAAAACATTAAATGGAGTAATCTGAAATTTATTAAAATTTCAATTCCAAACTTTAAAAATATTGAATTCTTTACAACAGTCACCAAAAAACCAAGATTTACAAATTAGTAATCGACATTTCCGTATAAAGATGTGGGGAGGATCCGAAATTGGAGTAAATGAAATTTTCTATTTTAAAATTAAATTAGAGAAATTGGGTTCCATAGCAAATGATAAATATATACTTAGCAATATGACAAACCTATAGCCAAATACCCCTATGTTTTCCCTCATTTTCCCTCACTCTCCCTAATCATTTATTCTTTGTTATAGAGCTAACTAACCCTTTAAATAAATTATAACAAATCTTCTACAAAATCTTTTTTATAAGTAAATTTATATGTATTTCCTTAAAAATTTAATTTTGGTTAATGAGAACTTTCATCCCACAAATAAAGCAACATAATTTTTTTTGAGAAATTTCAAAAAAAACCACTTTTCAAATGTCATTTTACAAAAATGTCACACTTTTGAAATCTTTACAAAAATGCCACTTTTTCAAAATTATTTTTTTTTATATTATTTATGTTTGGGTTAATTATGTTCTATTAGGGTTTAGTTTTGAGTGTTTAGGGGGTTTTAGGTGTCAATATATTTTTTAGGGTTTATAATTTTAAAATATAAGCTTTATATATCTATAATTAGTGATATTTTTGTAAATGGACATCCCTAAATGGCATTCTTGCAAATGTGCAAACAAAAAGTGGTATTTTTGTAATTGTCACATTTTTTAACCGAT